CGAGGATGAGATCCGGGATTTGCGCAGAAGATGGGAAGAAGTCATAGATACTAATGGAGAATACCTTTTGAATTGAAGGCTCTTCTTTTGTGTTTTTTTAAAATAAATGATTTGTTACATAAACGCGTCATTATTAAGTTGCCAACCTAATATTTACGGGTTTCCTTCATTTATTGGTACTCATTCTTTCTTTTCTCATCGTTGCTTGTACATTTGTGAATTTTACCAACTTTTCCGTTTTTTCAGCGTTCAGTATTAAGATATCAATAAATAATAAATTTATTTGACTATGGATGTAAATGAATATCTACAGAACGAAAAAGAAACAGAAATCCGTTTAAAAGTCAGGAAATTAGTAGAAAAACTAAAACTAAGTAGTGGCAAGGTTTGGAAACATTAAACATGACCATGTTTCGTCTTTCATAATAAGTTCGAAAATGTTTACGAAGATTATGAAGATTTGGGTATGTTTCTATACCCAAATCTAACTCTAACCACCGGATTTCTCTAGCTTAGCCATTCCCCCAATATTTTAGGCCCAGATTAGAGAGGCGGTCCTTCGGATCATCCGATCTCACTCAGGTCTCATTCATTCGGAGATCCAACCCCTTCCCCTAACTAATGTCCGCGACCCCCTCTCAATGTCTAGTCTTCTTGAAATGGTCATAGTCCCATGTAGAGAAATCAAGCTTCTTATCTTCCGGGAAATACAAGACAGGTCGATCGTCTATTCCAGTGGACTTCCCTCCTACTATGGAGGAGTTGAGGCCGGTGGTCGGTTGTGCTGGGAGTGGCGGGAAAAAGGTCCTCTCAATAAGTCTCCAGTTCTTTGAAGATGGAATTATTGAATTGTGCAATGGCCTAAACATGTCCTAAATAATAATGGAGAATACCTTTTATCTTAATCCACTTTATTTATTGTTGTTTGAAAACATAATTCGGGCCATAAAAAATTCGCATTATTTGCCCGCCAACCTAATTCAATGACATGTCGTTCTATTTTTCAACGTCTCAAAATCGGCTGTTCCAAAAGGTAGGTAAGGGGGACCACACGACTCAAAAATTTAGAATTCATTAAAAACTATTTTAAACGATGGCCCTCTGTCCAAATCGTACAAAAAACACGTTTAAAAATGAAACTATTTCCTTAACAGCTACCCCCTTTGAATCTCCAAAAAAATCCATTTGGGGGATCCTTATATTCATTTTTCAAAATGTTATTTTTCTATTTTTCCAAAAATAGCGTTTTAAATTTTACTGCCGATAAAATATAAGAAAGTTTTAGGCTTAGATCTATTCATAGAACACCCACAAGGTGGGTCTAAAGTCAAGATTTCGAGGAGTGAGGCGGTGTCATTCTATTAGGGGGTGTCATTCTAATACAACATTTACGGTATGCTGTTTTACTTGCTAAAAGTTTTTATCAGAACTGATCCGTGGCTAGAGAATTTTATGAACTAAGAAGGTTCAAGGATTTTTTTTAATAAAAGTACGAAAAAAGTCAAGCGTTGAAACGGAAATGACGAAGAATTTCGCATTTCATAATGTTAAAATACTCTTGTTTTCTCTGAAAGCTGAAAATTTACTGAAACTGCAGAAAATTTCAATGAATTTGGAACAAAATGTTTATGATCAGAATACAATAGCTTATGTTTTAACACGTCAAATCTCATTCCGTCTAGCAAATATCGCATTGTCCCCTCATCCTCCAGGTTCACAATGCGTGTGTTCATTTCCAAGTCAATCGAAACCAGGGATTTGTCCCATGAAGTCAACTTTTCGAAATGCTCCTCAACTTCTTTTACGTCAATTTTGTAGAAATTAAACCAATAATCAAAGCAAGGGATTTTCTCACCAGTTTTATAGTTTTTCGGATGATCGAGTAGAACAAAATATGTCTCTTCTCTTTTCCTTTTCCCACTTTTACCGGTATTACTTGGGCATTGCAGGAAAAGAAATGCGTCAACCTCATCGAAATTGTCTGTAGACTTTAAAGACAAATTTTGAAAAGGATCACCCCTAAACGGGTCAGTCATCGATCCCCCTTCTCTCACTTTCAATTGATCGTTCAGGGCTTCTCCAAATTCTGTATAATTTTGTAACAATTCAATAAAAGGCTGTTCTGTGCATTCATAGTACGGAATTTGCATCTTTTTGGGAAATGGATATTCAGAATCATCAGGAACACCGAATTTCAGTGAACATCTCAGTTGACAAGCACAAGGCAATCTTGGCGGATTTTTGAGCTGAAAAATGTAAGCAACAATTGGCACTTTCCATTTTGGTGCTTCCTTTTCTCGAATAAACACTGGAACAAAGTTCACGATCTGAAATTTGGTGAAACGTTTCGGTTTTTCTTTTGCTCTTTCAAGCGCTTCAATCACCATGTAAAGATCGATCGGTTTGAGATGAGAATAGAAGAGTTCATTCTCCGAATAACGCTCAACAATCGACTTCTTTGCTTTCTTCTTTGCCCAATAATTGGACTTGTTTTGAGATTGAACGAGAAACGTTTTCCCATCCGAATCATCTAACCATTCTCCTTCAAACTTCTCGACTCGATCAAGCTCTTTATTAATAAAGTGATTTGCATGTTCATTGATCAATAACCATTCCTCTTTGGTTGATTGAGAGAAAAAGGCTTTGAAGTGAATTCTTTTTGTGTAATATGTTTTCTTTCAGATTTCCATATCTTTCACCGTTTCATCAATGTAACGATAGTATGACCAGTAGGAAAAACTGCGTTTGCCCATGTTTTCCAAAAGGTTAAACGCTTTCTCATATGCTAGAATCTGGTCTTCATAGTCGGTACGTAAAATCTCGTGGAACAGCTCGTTTATCGTGTGTTTTCTTTCTAGAATTCATTCTTCTTGGATCAGTGTCAAAATTCTATTCATTGAAGGGTTCACTCAGATTCTCGGTTTGAGTGATCAGCGTTGGAATGTTTTGCAAGAAATTCTGTCTCTCTGCCTGGCCCAGGACCTCAAATTTTTTGAGGAATACCGGACGAACGGTGGGATTCAAATTCTTCGAAGGATTCTCAAGCTTTAAGCCTCTTAATTCTTTTGAATTTTGATCAGTAGATTCGGAATCAAAATGAATGTCAGGCACCTCCTAGATACTATTAACATTCACCACAGCTCTGCCCATTGTATTATCAAAGCCAATCGGTCGAAGTCGTTTCCTTTGATCCTCATCGATAAATGGTAACTCGTCAAATTTCTTGAAGTTAAGGTCTTTCTAAAGTTTATTTTTAATTGTTTGAATCAAATCAAACCTCTTTGATCTCAAGTAGATTCTCGAAAATCTCTGCAGCCATTGGTCTCTGAGCATGATCGAAGTCAACACATCTAAAACGGATTCAGCTAGGCTTTTGAAATGACAAACCTCTGAATTATGTTTTTAATGGGATCTTGACAGTTTGCTGAATCCAGTTTCATTAATTTATTTGTAAAGACATTGAGGAGAAATCGCTCATGATCAAAATGCTTCAAACCATACTCGGAGAGGACGGTTCTGAAAGAAAAGTGTTAACTTGTTCAAATTCTGCGATAAAACTTGGTTTAGATAAACAGTTATCCCTGATAAAATTTCTTGGACGAAAGTCCATTCACCTTCGTTCAACAATCCCCCAAAGCACAAGACCCATACTGTAGACATCGTTTCGGTGAGAAGACTAAACTATTAGGCTGTCCCGAAAGTCTTTTCGTTCCTTTTCGTACTAATGATCACGTGTGGCTGACTGGTTAAATGTCTTTTATCTTAATCGGAAGGTCGAGGGTTCGAACCCCGCGTGGGACATTGTTGCGCCCTTCGGATTTCCTTTCCCTTTGGGTTGAGAGGTTTTCTGGAGGGTAGTCTGGTGGTTGTGGCCCCAGTTCTTCAAAGTGACAAGCCTCTCATTCATCGTCATCTTCTCTTCACCACAAAAAAGCTATTTCGCTCCCCATTGAGCTTAGGGTTAGGGAGCCGTCTGTCATGGAGTGAATTCAGTTAGGATCTAGCCTAGTATTGTGTGTGTTGTTGTATTGTGATTGATGTATATCGTAAATAAATCAAATCCCGCCGTCCCCGATGTATTCTTTATTTTATCGTTTAGAACCAATAAATGCACCAATTGAATTACGAAGCACAAAAAGTTAGGTATATAGCCAAATTTTCAGTGAAATTGATTCAGCCAAGAGGTTTTTATAGATTTTTACGAAAAACACGTTTTTGCTCTCGAATTTGCTTGAAAGTGAACCGAATAAAAAGATGGGAAATTGAACAAAAAACAATTTTTATTTAGAGCAAGCCATAGGTTAATTGGTGATTTTGTTATTTTTTGATGGAAGTATGAAAAGGAAAGAAAAGATTTCCTGAACACTCTAATATAATGTGATCAGTTCCATTCAATGTCAAGCCATGAAATGATCCCTACGTCCAACTGATTCCCCCGCCCTTGGCAGACTCATGTAACGAAGAGTGCCCACAAAAGTCCCAAAAGGCTTTCAATTTGACACTCCCAAAGTCGCCGACTTTCAACAAGAAGTTCTTTTCACCAAAATGCTAAAGATGGTGTGTAATTGCTGGTTTTGATTTTCCCACTTGTCTGGCTTGATATCTCTATGAATGACGTCATTTTCTTTCAAAGTAAGCACACTAAACAGCTGTTCACTCCAGGCCAACGCTGTTCTCATTGAGTAGATGATCTTTGCATTGAAAAGCACTGAAAGAATGGGAGTTTAACATCTTTTCTTGCTTTTTAACAACCTTGCCGAAGTGAGCCCTTCTCACAGAATTCCATCACTATTGCCAGCATTTCTTGGCCACCTTGGGAGACATTTCTCGAGCGGATGTAAGCAACAATTTTCGGGTGACGGAGTTTTTCAAGAGTGACACATTCTTTTTTAAACGCCTCTCTCTGGTATTCCTTCTTGCAGTAAACATACTTCACAACGGCTTGACTAAAAGAGAAAACTTTTGTACCGAATAACATTGAGAACATGATTGGTAATTTAAAAATCGTACGGCTTGTGATTTTTAAGAAGATAAACGGCTCCGAAACCGCCGTTGCCGAGGAAAGTCTTCTCTCCATCATCACCGAAATTGTCGATCGATTTCTCGATGATCGCTTTTCTTTTTTGGCTTGTTGATGATCGGTTCCTTGAATCTAATAGATAATTGTTTAAAAATCACGAAAATATGGAAAGTCTAAAAAGAAATTTCTTAAATGAAAAGCTTTTAGCAATTGAGCCCTTTTGTTGCGAAATAAAAGTCACATTTGTATAGTTTGAGGTCACAGTCGTATGAGCCAACAATCTCATGTAATCTAAAAAAAGATATTATAAAATACCTAATATAAATGTGATACCCGATCCTCTGTGCAAAACTCGTCACAAAAGTTTGAGAATGGGCCGAGACGTTGCTTGAGCTGTTGGCAGTGAGATTAGTGAGGCGAAAGTGGCGATTCCCTAAAGAATCAGTTCTTGAACCAGTCATTGATATGTTGACCCGACTTTTGCCTACTTTTTCTACTTTTCTTACTACTTTTTCTTGCTAATTCCTTATCCTTTATCTTTTACCCAATCCTGCTTCTTTATTTGCCTATCGGCAGTTGAACCCACCGCAATGACCCTCAATGCTTGTTTAATTGTTAATGGTTTCTTCATCGGATGTCGAATCAACATATGTCGATCGACGGAGATCGCTGTTAATGTGAAAGTGGAGAAGACGAGGGTGATTCCCCCGAATGGATAAGTTGTAAATGAAATTTGGCCCATGCTTTGGATCCTATCCAATCCTACTTCAAATATTCAGTTCATTCGCCAGTTTGGTCCAATTGCCTAATTTACCCAATGAATGCAATCAAAATCAGTTCTTTTAACGAACTAAACTTTGATTTACTTACCCAATGGTTGTCAGACTTTATGCAACCCTTTAAGGTTCAATCAAATTCTGAACTAGGGAACGGTCAGATTTCGAACCAAAGCCATCTGACTTACGCAAGTCGGACACGGGAAACACGATGGCGTTTTTAGTTTTTGCCCAAACGAAATGTAGAAAGGTAGTAACAAATGTTAACTTTTTCAATACTTTTCTGCTGATTATGGCTTTGGAAAATTCCAGCTTTTGTAAATCAGTTTTTGAAGTTACCTGTTTTTGAAGTTAGGTTATAGCGGTGTATAAAACTCGAGTCAATAATTTAATGCAAATACGGACGGGAACAGCTTTTTAAAAAGCAAACAATATTTGAGGCGAGTGGGACTCGAACTTGGGGGGCAAAGGATGTAAAAGGTTCGGTAGACTAGCAGACCATCCACTAGACAACCGAAGCAGTCATCACGAAAGCGTGTGACGATAAAGGGTTCGAAGGCCCGAAGATGAAGAAACGAAGGTGATACTTCATGCGAAATATCTCACGTTTTGCGAAGCGTTCTGTAAAAACTAAAAAGGAATTCGAGATCTGCCGAGATAGCCGAGACTCTATAAGATGGATTTGGTCTCGAGTCAATAGGACAGCTTGACTCGGTGCTTTTCCCTTGTAAGAGAAGGATGATTTTGAAAACTACTTTCATTCTTATTCATCCCTCAACTCCACCCGTCTTCAATTTGCTAATTCTCAGGACACATTCGTTTTAATCTTCAAAAACTTCAAAAACAAAAACCAGATGATACTTTTTCACTGTGTACTTTGTGATCAAATCTTGTAAACTCATCCTTTCTGGCGTGCTCGAGTCGTTGCTGCAAGAAAAACGAAGAAATCGGTGCGCTAGAAAGGTGGTGCTTACAAGATTTGATTACAGAAAATTATTAAATTACAAATTAAGTAATTACAGAGCTCAAAACGTGACCATAGAGAAAATCAGACCAAGGATACCGTAAAGGCAAAGTATCGTTTTAAAGAAAAGTTCCCCAATTTTCACATCCAATTCCCAAAATCACAGCTCAGCACTCAATTGTTTCCATATTTCCCTCATTTTTATGAATACACCGGTTCTCCTGTTATTCTTCCTTTTCTCATTGCTGCTCGTACATTTGTGAGTTTTAGAAATTTTTCTTTTTCTCCGCGTTTAGTAATAACATCTCTATGAAAGTAATAAATTTATTGAACTATGGATTAAAAGAAAAACACAAGAAATAGCAAATTGCTGGTTTGCAGCAATAAAGTTTCAGCGTCGATCCATTTTTTTTTTCAAATTTCTCAGTAAGTTTGCTTTCCACGTGGTGAGCAAGAACGCTTTTCCGGTCGCAATAGAAAGATTTCATTTCCATTCTCCTTTTGGTGAAAATCTGGCTTAAAAGCTCTCTCTTATTTGTCTGTGTTGATCTGAAAATGGCATTTATTACTGAGCGGGTGCAGAAAGTACAGTTTATGCAGGGTTTTGTAAATATTTCAATGCTCTATTTGACTTTTTTCATTCGAAAAAAAAGAAAAAAAACTAAGGGCATCAAGAAAGATAGAATTCAAAAATTAGACTAGTAAAATAAAGACTCTGGAAATTGGGAAGTCAGGAAGACCGGGGTTAGGATACAGAGCAAGAAACATCTTTCCTTTTTCTTTCTGTCTTCAGTTCGTTAAACTCAAGCCATTCTGTCTCTGGTTTCCCTTGATAATCAATCAAGCGGATGTAGGGTGTCCCCCAATCACTCTTGATCAAAGCATAGACCCTCTCATTGAGCTTTGACTCTTGAAAGTACTCTCTTAGTACTGCAACATCCATATGATGAAGTTTCATCTTCAAATCCAATCCAAGAATACTTTCCCCGTTTTCATAATTATTCGGATGATCCAAGAGAACCAAAAATGGAATCTCTAAGAGATTTTGACAGCAAAGAAATAGAAATGGGTCTTTCATGAAACCAAAAGGATTAGAACCAGAAGGATTAGAACCTATACAAACCATGTAACTTTCCAGAAACAGAACCTCCTTTACCGTGATTTCACCACATACTGGAATGTGCAATTCTTTAGGTAAATCTGATAGACTCTCTTCCATTTTCCTAAAGCCATCCATTTGACATTTCCCTGAATGTTTCTTTTGACAAATTGGACGAGGAGGATTTCTTAATTGGAATATGTAGTGCGGGAAAGTATAGAGGTAAAATCTTTTAAATCTTTGGATGAATTCAGAAGATTCATCGAGAAGTGATTCAATATTAAATGGAACATTATTATTCTCCGAATCTTTTATTGGAACCAGATGTTTCAAGTGTAATTTTATGATCGTTTCCATTCTTTTTTGTTGTTTTTCAAATGCATCAATTATACGTCCAGGAGTGATTTGTTTGTAATGGGAGAAATGAAGCAATTCATGTTTTTCGTCTTCATTTTCAATTTCATAGCTCCAGATTTCGGCTCTTGGATTGTCTACCCATCGTCCTGGTATTTGTTTCCATAATCTGAAGTCTTCATTTACAAACTCATCCCATCCTATATGAATCCATCCCTCACCAGTCAATTGAGAAATAAAACATCGAAAATAGAAATTTGTGGTGTATTTCTCTCTTTTTAAGTCTTTCAAACTGTCAACCCGATACGCACAAATGTCCCAATTGTAAAAACTTGATATCCAAATCACCTCGTGACTCTTAAGAATTCCAAAAACATCGTTTTCTTTCCGGGATTGTGTATTAAAATCTCCCAAAACAAACAATTCAAATATTTCATAAATATTTTTTTCATGTAGATTTTCCTTCTCACTTTCTATCTTCAATATTTCCTCAATCACATAACGAGCATCTTTGAAAGTCTGAGTTTCTTCTTTTAATCTTGAAACAATATTTGGTGCTTCTTTGAAGAACTTCTCTCTTTCAGCAGAATTTAGTGTTTCGAGTTTATCTCGCATTGTATTTTTGGCCCATTCATCCAATATAAGCTGCCATGGCTCCCCCACGAATCTCTTTTCAAATTTTCTTTCTTCAGATTCAACCATAACCCATTCTTTTTTATCATCAAATCCAATTGGTTTCATTAGTTCTTTTTGGTTCTCATCTTCTGTGGGCATAAAAGGGAGTGAAGAGATGAATTCATTTGTCTAGGTTATTATATTTGAGATGTATAAAATTTCAACAAAAAGGAAACCCACTCAACTATTCGTTTGGAAAGCATGAAACCTCGCATCTTTCTTCTTTCTTTTTACTATCAAAGGGAAACCTTGAAATAGTGACCCTTAAAATTGCGTGGTTCAAACAACGAGAAAAAAACTGCAGAAAAGCGAGTTACTTTGTGGAAAAGCACCTCATAATTGGGTATTTTAACCAAACATAGTTGGCTGTATGCCAAAGAGATTAAAAAAGAATTTTAAGGTTAACTATTTTGAAGTTTTTCCTGAATTTCTTGAAAGAAAGAAGAACTTTTGTGATGGAAGACGGATTAACATGGCATGGCAACAGAAGTCAACTTCGATCCGGCTCTTCTCAGCGATTTTACCACAAAAGATTTCCAAACTTTCATACTTGGTAGTCCTAAGGATTCTAGGGAAAAAAATCAAAATTCCATTCATCATAATGATAAAATAAGTGAAAGGAAATATGCGAGGTTACATACTTTCCAACTCAATATAATAGTAGACGAGGAATTCTACTTCCTCTAGAAAAGCTTACTTTCTGCGTTTGATTCAGGAAGTCCAAGACTTCAGAAGCTGCTGGACGATGAATACGTTGAAAGTTAGTGCATCTGATAGGTGGATTCGGAAAGCATGAAAGAAAATCTTGACTCCAAACCTCGAGATGATCTTTTGAATTTCTGATTGACATTCGGGTGGTTCGATTTCAGTAAGACGCTTGAGTGCAATATCAAACAATAATTGGTCACGATCAAACATTCCAGATCTCTCATAGTTTGTGAAAATGGTTCTAAAACAATCAAAATATTCTTTCGAAACCTTAGTTATATTTTGAATGAGATCAATATGCAAATATTAATACCTCCTTTCCATGATTTCCCACATAACAAGCCCCAGACTGTAGACATCATTTCGATGGGAATCCTGGAATGAATTTTTCTTATCATTGAATAGAAATGAATGTAAAACTAACCTTTATATCCCTCATTTGTTCATAGACATTCCGTACCCCATCGTCCTTCATATCGGGTGGACTCATGTATCGTGGCGTTCCCATACACGTCCCCGCAACAGTTTCATCTCCCACTGCTTTTACCAATCCGAAGTCACCAATCTTCAGCTGGTATTCATTGGTCAGAAAAATGCTATCAATGAATCGAATTTTGACATTTATACTACTGAATATTACTTGTCTGGTTTGATGTCTCGATGTACCAATTTGTGTTTCTGATACATGTGATCAATGGCATCAAATAATTGGATTCCCCATGTGAGAACAGTGTTCATTGAATATGTAATGTTTGGATCAAGAAGCACTAAACTCTAAGATATAACAATATCAGTTCAATCCCAACCCCCCTTGAGTGGTCCCTTCTGACAATATTCCATTACAATTCCCACTCTATCTTTTTCTTCTACATGTCGATACAATCGGACAATATTTCCATGATGGATCTTGATCAAAGCTTCGCATTCATTTTTGAAGATCTTGAGTTGTTCAGCATTTCCACAAGGCATGTATTTCATCACAGCTGGGCTAAACAAAGAAGCGTATGGTACAATACAGCCTCGACAAAAGAATAAATCAGGCTTCGTAGCGAATAGATCAAAAATAACCAACGGTTCGTGTCCAATCAATTCATACACTGCTCCATATGTTCCTTGCCCAATACACTTTCCCAATTCAAATTGATCAGATGTTGTCATTTCTCACAGATAAGGCTTTAACCTAAAGAACTAATAATATAAAATATAAAACAGGAGATGAAATTAGAATTGGAAAAGCAGTTAGAATGTGAGGGCAAAAACTTTTGCAAGAAAGTGAGCTCTTATCTCTTTCTTCTCTCCACTCTATTCCCATATGGATTGATTCTGGGTTTTGGGAAAAGCAGAGGGATCTGATAACAATGAAGGGAATCTTTTTAGTTCATTAAATTTATTTTTGTTTTGTTTTTCTTAAACTTGACTTGATCCAAAAACGGCTTCGAGAGCCACAAAGAACATTACAGTTGTTGATAATCGTCACTTGGAGCCAGATTCCAAATTATTTTAGAAGGAAAACATTTAGGACAAAATGTAGGAGCAAAACTTAAAAAGTTAGCTGAATAAATAAAAATTCCACTTGTATGAGAAGCTCAAAATTGACCTCGGGCAAAGTGCCTTTTTTGTATTTTTCTTTGAATCCGTAGTGAAATAACTTTATTCCACTCATTGATATGTGATTACTAAACGCAGAAAAAAAGGGAAGTTTGTAAAATTCAACAAGCGCATCAACAGATAATTATGCATCAACCCAATACAAAGAACCAAAATTGAATTTCAAGTCAGGTTGCAAAATATAATTGGCTGAGTCAACAAAGAAAGATACTATTTGGCTTCGTTTGAAAAAAGTCGAGGTCTTGAACAAAAAAGGTATCTAAATGGTCACTGATAGACAGCTAGATCTTCAAACCATTCATTTCTTTTCTCTCTTTTTGGATCACTTCGGGTGATTCAGAGAGTATTTTCTAGGAACACTTACATAATCAAACTGAAACCTTATAAAATGATTTCTAGGTGGCCCTCGCGATGTATCCAGATCAATCTCTGGTCGATTCTGTAAATAAGATCAATTTTTTCGCAGAACAACTTTTGGCGGAACGATCGTTTCCACACTCGATGAGTCAACTCTTTTCTAAACAATTCGAGAGTCAGCGAAAGCTTTTGCAAAAAAACTCATTTGTTTATCTCATCATTCGTTTCCCTGATTTGTCCGAATTCGAAAGCGAAACGCCAACAAATCGATCGAAATGGGTTTTCTGGCCATCTTCATCACTATTCTTCTATTTTTCACTCAAACTTCGATCCAACAAAACATCGATCCATTCGAATTCGAGTTTCCCTTGACAATGGATTCCCCCGTTTAATTTGATTTAGCAATGAGAATCAGACGGATGCAATTCGCTTGGAGACTTGTCAACGAATGTTGTGTGTTCGATTTCTATAAATTATCGTTCATAAACTATCAATGATGGCAGAGAATTCGAAAGAAACAACAAAACAACAAAATCGAGATCATTCTCAGTGTGGGAATCAAATTGCGGGACCTCAGCTTCAAGGATGATCACCCGGACTGTACACCATTTTGAGAGATTCCACAAAGCTTTTCTTTCGTGGAGTTAATGGACTCCCAAACACAGCTAGTCAAAATGGCAAAGAGTCTGACTCATCGTTTGAATAGTTTCTTCCACGTAAACCTTTTGCTAGAAATTTTATAGATCTCTTTCATTTTCACTCTCCCCAATCCAATAGAATATATTTTGAAATTTGGAAATCATCGAAAGGAGGTATTCATATTCACATTTTGACCTTAGATATCAAAATAGACTTCGAAACAACAGTTTGATTGTTTTAGAACCACTTTCACAAACTATGAGCTATCCGGGGTGTTTGATCGTGACCAATTATTGTTTGACATAGCACTCCAACGTGTTACTGAAAGCGAATGACCTGAATGTCAATCAGAAATTCAAGAAGTTATCTCGAGGTTTGAATTCAAGATTTTCCTTCATATTTTAAGGATCCATCTATCAGAGGTACTAATTTTCAACGTATTCATCGTCCAACAGCTTCTGAAGTTTTGGTATTGCTCAAACAAACCCAGACAGTAAGATTTTTTAGTAAAGTTGATTTTCATCTACTATTATATTTCTACTTATTACCTATTACCTAATGTACCGATTTCAACCAGGTCTACCTTTTTTTCTTACACCCCAGACGGAATTCCCTCTTTTGTTATACGGAAAACTAAGTTTCCAATATCTCCACTACAAGCTAAACCTTTTAATCTGTCACTTCTAACGGCTAAGATCCCTAAATTTTGGAAGGATACAGCAATTTCGCCACTTTTTAAGAAAGGAGATCGGAACGCGCTTGCAAATGACTTTTTTTCGAATGACTTCCCCATTAGTAGCGGAGTGCTTCAAGGGAGCGTTCTTGGTCCTCTTCTTTTCCTCATTTATATTAATGACATTAACAGTTCGATCTCCCTAGGCACAAAAGTCCGACTCTACGCCGATGACCTTAAGATTTATAGGGTACTTCCGTCCGGAGCCCCATCCCTGATTTTATTCTTCTCCAGAAGGATTTTTAGGTTGTTTGCCCATAGTTTGTTGTTTAAATTGCTGATACGGTTTTTTTTCGTTTCCTGTTCGGCTCCTTCCACTTCTTTGTTTTGAATTCCTTCGCAGATGTCGTATAAACTTAACCTAACCAATTTCTTTTAACTAAAATGCAAATCTAAATAATCTTGTTACTTCGTCTTGGGATTTGTGTTAAATCATTGAGAAAAGGCTTGATAAGTCTAAGCGGGCAATGTTTTGACTTGGCATTGAGAAGACCACATGTATACTAGGCATGGCAATCGGACTTCTTCAGATCGATCAATGTTTCAGGTTAACAACAGAACAAGGACAGTTACAGGCCAAATAATCATGACTAACAGATAAGGTCGGACTGATCTGGTCCTGTCCGATTGTCATGTCTAATGTCTACCCTCTAGCTTATTCCCAACAAGAGGAACCTAGTTTCTTGCGCTTAGTGTAAGCTGTGGTTTGGCCATTGTAATTTGGGTTTGATCTTCTCATTTGATTTGATCAACTCTAGCTGAAAATGATGTCGAGAATGCGTTAAAATTGCTCCAAACACGCCAATTCAAAAAGCTCCCTTTTCCATTTCTGTCCAATTCATTTCTGTATAGTTGACCACACTTTGTTCTGGAGAATTAAGAAGCAACGCTAAACTTAGTTATCGGGACAAAGACCTTCAGAAAGATTAGTTCAGGAGCACATGTGGCATTTGGTATGGCGAGTAAATAAAAGTCAGAGATAAGACCTTCTTTGTTCAAGAACTCGACTCTTTTCAAACCCAGCCAAATAGTGTTCGCTGTACAGAAAAGGATCCAAGAATCAAAAATGGAATATCTAAGAGATTTTGACAGGAAAGAAATAGAAATGGGGGTTTCATGAAACGAAAAGTCAGACCTCTTTTAAATCTTATACAATCCATGTAACTGTCCAGAAACAAAACCTCATTCTCTGTGATTTCACCACATACTGGAATGTGCAATTCTTTAGGTAAATCTAAACAATTTTTCCTTTTTCTAAACCCATCCATTTGACATTTCCCTGAATGATTCTTTTGACAAATTGGGCGAGGAAGATTTCTTAATTGGAATATGTAGTGGGGCAATAGGAAATAGGTCCCTCCAATTCAAACACATCCCCCATTGCTCCTCGACCAATAAATCGTTCTTTGAATGGTTGGTTTGTTGCCATAGTTTATCGTGGGCCACCAAAACTGCAAATGTCCCTGGGAATAAAATAATTTCAGAATAAATTAAACTTTATAGTTAAAAGGAAGATAAAACGTGACCAAGGCTCCCGTAACCGTAAAGAAAAGTAATACTTCCAAAGTAACAATATTTAAGTAACAGTATTTAAGGTTTAGTATGCAAAAATTGTTCCCTAAAGGGCACCTATTTGACATTTTGATTGGGAACTGTGGCCCTCAATGTCTAGTAAACTTCAGTCAAGTAATCAAGTACCTAGTGCACCAAACTATACCCAATAAATACTTGAAATAACACGATCAAGGCGACGAGGATCGTGAGTGTCTTGTCCCGTCAACTCCCTGTTCAATGTCCTCAATTCCTGCATTTCAACGGGCTTCTCCCCTCCCTCTCCATCATTGATCATTCGTCTTGTCTCCTCCATTCATCCCTCAACCCCTCCCGTCTTCAATTTGCTAATTGTTAGGACACAAAAAAGCAAAAAGGCCACATCAGGACTCCAAACCCAATGGTCCTCTTTAGGACCCCTTGTGGCTTCGAGGGAGAAGGGTGTCCCTACCTCCGCGCGGTTTTCCTCGGTAATTGCCTTAACGGGCAAGTTTCAGTTCCAAATAACAAAGACAGTTTCACGAAGATCGATTCAGAATCAAAGTGACAATTCGAAATGGCGAGTGAATAAAAATGAGAGATAATGCCTTCTTTGTTCATGACCCAGCCTCCTTTTCAAATGCAGCCAAATAATATTTTTTTGTTGACTCGACCAATCCTATCTTGCAATATAACTTGAAAAATTCAATTTTGGCTCTTTGTTCATTTTGATTATTTAACCACGGCTCTTCGATACGTCTTCATTAGTAAGGGCTTCCACTTAAAAACCTAACTTCTATTTAGGATAGAAGAGGAGAAGGGAAATCTCCATGAAAAGGATATTTATGAAATATTTGAATTGTTTCTTTTGCGAGATTTTAAATGGCAACTCTAGGGAGAAAACAAAGCTTTTGAAGCTCTTAAAAGTCACGAGAAGATTTGGATATCCAGTTTTGGAACTGGCGGAGGTGTGAGCATTGGATTAACAGTTCGAATTACACAACAAATTTCTATTTTCGATGTTTTATTTCTCAATTGACTGGTGAGGGATGGATTCATATTGGATATCCTTTCATCTATCCTTCATTCAGAAAGGACAATCAATTTGTAAGTCAAGATTTAAAATTATGGAAAGAAATACTAGGACAATGGGTACACAATCCAAAAGCTGAAATCTGGAGCTATGAAATCGAAAATGAAGACGAACAACATGAAATGCTTCATTTCTCCGATTACAAACAAATGTCTCGTGAACGAATAATGTATGTATTTGAAAAAACAACAAGAAAAA